AGGTTAATCTTCTTAATTTTTACTAACCTAACATGAAGGCATAGTACCTTCATCTATAGACTACTGTAAAATTATTCTAGAAAACGAGATGGTAGTCTTGAAGTGTATAGACACTATAATGTAAAGGAATATCATACTACATTTGAAAATGAAAAATAGTACCATTTATGCATAATGACAGCTCTAAATAGTGTGTATAAATGCAGTCTGTGTGTATTGAACAGAATGCTGGCAAGTGTATTTCTAGAAACCCAAATTAGTGGTTGGGTGCATTTTGTTTCAATAGACAGAATTACTTATAGTGACTTAAGAAATAAAATAATTCTTTTTTCTATCTAAGAAGAACTCCAGAAATGTAAGCTATTAGGTTTCTTGCATGAATTCATCTATCTTATCAGGGACCCAGATTTTCTCTGTGTTTCTGCTCTGCCATCATCCTCAGCAGGTCTGATCTTCATCCCCATGTATTTCCTCACAGGGATGAAATCACTATCTTAAATCCAGTGATTTTGACTTGAAGCAATAAAGTCAAAGAAAGTAAAAATTCCATGTTCTTGCTATGTTTTTCATCAAAGATTGGTGCCTTATATATAAGCTCCCTTCTTTGGCATTCTTTATAAATATATCCTATTAGGAACAACACGGTCATTTAATTCACCTCTAAAGAAATCTCAAGCAAATGGATGTTACACTGACATTTTTTGGAGTCAGTCTATGTACTTCAGGTTTTCCTTGAATTCAGTATGCAGCCCAAGCTGTCCTCAGACTAGCAGAGATCCTCCTGCCTCAGCTTCCTGAATGGTGAGATTACAGGTGTGCACCATGATGTCCGGCACATCAACATTTCTGTTAGTCAGCCTTTGCTCCAATGACACTTAGGAAACATGCCAACATATCAATGATCTGCAAGAGTGAGTGTTTATCTCTTCCTCTTGAGTTATGAGGATTGGTTGCAGCAATGTTCATCAGACAATGGATGAACTTTCAGCGTGCTTTATCACCCCTGCATTTCTACACCCAGGTTAAAGGACAGAGACTATGTTGGGCACATGATTTCAGTAGTGCTGAGCAGGAATGCAAAGAGAGGCACAGAAACACATGATCTGGAAGGCAGAATCTAGAGATAGGAAGAGAATCCAGGGAAGAGGGAAGAAGGGAAGGTGGAGGAAGGGATTTCTACTGACATGATCAGGATGCAGTTGAATATGCACCTGTTCCTCCAGGTGAGTGTAATTATAATTTATCACAAATATATGCACTAATAGCAATTTTTAAGAAGTTCTGTGTACAATAGGCACACCGTCACCTGTACCCACATTCCCCTGGGTAATATAATTATATAAACAAGCCTGAAGTTAAACAGAGAAATATTTTCTTTCCTTATTGAGGCACATCAAGGGCTTGGAAGAGAACAAAGAATTATGATAAACAGTTCCATGATAACATACTACAACTTTTATCGTTTTGGCCACTTCTCTAATTGAGGAAGGAATTCATGTTCTCTGGTCTTGTGGCAACTGTAGAAGCGTCAACAAAATGTGATTACTTTAAAGTAAATAAAGGGTTGTGGCTATTGAGTGGACACAGCAACAGCATCCCAAGCAGTTCTCATCAAACTTTTAGTGACGCTCATCATGGCAGAGGATTCCTGGGCTGGAGAAGTGGCAGTGAGAGAGACACAGACTGTTGTGGGAGAAAAATAAAACCGTTCTGTGTTGACATCTCACTGTTAAAAATGAAGTCTCTTCTAATAGGAAAAATGAGCCAGCTCAGACATTCAACTCAAATATTGATGAAAACAGCAGTGAATTATTTTTTTACTAAAAAATTTAATTCAACAATTTAGAAAGTGACTTTTATCTTCTGGAAACCATTCTTCCTTTTCCAAAAGGGTTAATATTCATATAGATGGTGTATAAATTACACTGTACAACCAGGCTTCACTTAGCAACAGGGATATGTTCTGAGACGCGCATCCTTAGGTGATTTCATCACTGTGGAAAATCATGGAGCACACACAAACTCAGAGAGGTGTGATTTCACTAGATGGTGTGAAATTATGAAACCACAATCACGTATGCTGTCTGCCATTGACCAAAATAATACCATCCAGAAATCAGTCAACTCTGACATCTTAGGTGAAGAGCCCCCAGTCATTGCGTCTGCAGAAGAACAGTGATTTTTTTTTTCTCTTTGAATTCTGGCCTATTCGCTAGTATGGACTGCTCTTTTATGTTTTACTGTCATGGGCAAGTGATGCAGGGAGAGAAACATTGCTGATCTGTGAAATTGGATGATACATTAAATCTGTCTTGGTATTTAAACCAGACTAAGTACCATGTTTAATTGGGTTTATGAAATGACATCTTGTTCAGGGCAAGGATCAGTATGGAAGAGAAGCTGTGATGGATGATAAATTAAATACCTAACTTAAAGCTAAATTGTTATCTGCAGACAAGTCAGTAATTTCAGAACTGTGTCTCAAATGAGTCGCAAATTGACCTCTTTCTGCACAGTTCAGCATAGCATAGGAAGCATTTTATGTGACATTATGTGACATTAATTTCTAAGGTTTAATATGACACTTTCCAATTATTTGTCATAAATATATAACCCAAAATCTCTCTCTGCCTTTCCTGATTTTTTCCCCTTAGTACTGAGTTAATGGAAACCTTCAAAGTTAAAATTATGGGACATACAAGGGCTTTCCCAATTGTTAAAATGTGAATCTTAAGGCTGATAACTATAACATAACTAAAGACAAAAACCCCACCTTCTCTGATTTCTTGGAAGCACTAGAGGTGCAAATGTAGACCTCATTGCAGGTACAAGTGCTCTGTTAGGTACAATTTTCATAAAAGAAGTTTAAAGAGCTATTTTAATTTTTACACCAGACTGTATACTCCTGAAATATAAGGCTAATGAGCCACTTTCCCAGAGATCACCTTTTCAAAATAAACAAGTTCTTCTGCACTGACTCAGGACTCTGAGTTATAGCTGAAAGACTAATTATATCAATATTGTTATGGGCACATCTACGACAGTACAAAAGAATATTCTCTCCATCTCCAAAGCTAGATGGTGGATTAGATGAAATCCAATTTTACTCATCTGGAATATCCTTTTGGTTTTCCCTTGCACCTCTATAAAATCTTACAGACTTTTCCTTTTAAAAATATGGAAAACCCAATATTTTTTCTATTTCTTTAATATTCATAAAAGTAACTTTGTACATAAAATCTAACACTAAATTTCTCCCTTGGTAATTTGATCTGTAAAATAAATTGGAACAAATCATTATGAGCAGAATACTCTCAATTAAGACATAATTAATTAAATGCCAACTATTTGGGGACGTGCACATAGATGACTGATTATTCAAGAAATATAGCATTACACTTAGCCAGCCACATTTCTGGTCTTGACTGCCTGACCCACTACAAGTGACCAGGAGATTGGACCTTACTGTAGAGGAAGGGCCTGGGTGGGGGTGATCATGTCATAGCTTCTTTCTGTAAATAGGAGGTAAGGAGGGGCTTTCTTCTTGCCTTCCTTTTTATTTTTTGACAGCACTTTGTTTAATTTTAAATAAGCAGTATGTATATATATTGTCAAACTGCAACAGGCCTGTTGTGCCTAGTAATACTTTTCGAAGTCTTTAAAAGAAAGTTGATAATCAAAATGTTAAACATGTTTAAAAGGTACTAAACTTGAGTATTTTACTTAGGAATTATTTAATTCACACTTCAAGCTTTCTTTCAGTTATAGATACAGATATCTGAAAGCTACTCTCTGCTGTTGGTGTTTATGTGTTAGGTATGTCCTCAAACTTACCAAGAAATCTGAATTTTATTCCCCAAGAAGTGACAGGGATGATGTAGCAAGTGTGTTAACTGGTAATTTCAGTGTTGATGTGAAAAATGAAGGGACTGCCATCACATAATTTAAAACAACTTATAGGTCCACCCACGTATTAGCTACAGCCAATATTTCTTATATAAATATAGTATGTATTGCTTTAATTCTCTTGAACATTTTAAGACTTCTGAAAAGTGTTTCAAGGATCCTAAAAAGTGGGTGATTGAAGAGTGAGCAAAGAGTTAAGTAAAGTGGGAAGAACTTGTTGGATACCTACTTTTATTTACACACACACACACACACACACACACACACACACACACCCCATTAATCTCTCAGCCCCAAGCAAGCACTTCGATGCCTTTTTCTGCAGTGCTGAGTCTGGAAACCGCAGCTGTCTTTCCTTGAGGCAAAGGATCACCTCACAAAGCCTGATAGGAAAGTCGCTCAGACTAGGTATTGCCTTAGCCTGAAATCTAGCATTAGCATTCCATCCCATCAAGTTTGACATTTTCATCTTCAGATAACTTCTTGGAAAATGCAAATGTTCATTAAAGAGAAGAGTAGTCACCTTTGGGGTCCCTGGAGCTTTAATATTCGTGGGTTTGTCAGATAATTTTCTTCAACAGTAGTGGATACTCTGTCACAGAGGCAGAATAGGGAGCCAGAGCAGATAGAAAAGAAAAAAAAGATACAATAAAATGAGATAGAAGGTTGTCTTAAGTCATTTTCTATTTGTAACATAGTACTACATATTCAGTAAGTTATAAAGAAAAGCCTTTTTTTTTATTCATGGTATTATTTCAAGTCCATATTCAAGGGTCCATATTCCTGTTGCTACAGTCCCAAGGTTCTACATGGCATCACATTACGAGAGAGGGGGGAGTCCAAGAATTGGCTTTCATAGCAGACCCTCTCTCAAGATAACATATTCACCCATCTATGAATTGCAGAGCCCAAATCACCTCTTATAGGCTCTACCTCTTAATGTTTCATAAATAGTGAATAAATTTCAACATGAGTTTCAGTGGGCACAAACCAAACCCATTCATAGCAACAATGCACTTTCACTATCCATAGTCTTTTCTGGTTTTGTTCCTAGAGTTACCAAAGGCTGCTTCCATTTCCCTTTTCTTGTGCAGGTCTTTGATCCAGATATGGTCTGACCTTTGGAAATGACTATAGGAAGAACGGTATCAAGAAAAATGCAGTAGGCAGAGAGTCTTCATGTTAGCCTTGTAAGTAGAGATCCCAAACTGTAGTTCTCATTGGTCCTACCTGGGAGGTTTTTGTTTTTGTTTTTTTTAAATACTGCCACCTGATCAGAGAATTTCCTTTTAATTTCACCAGGTAGTTCTTACATGGAGAACCAGAGGCACTATACCAAGAGACACTGCGCCAAGGAGTTCAACAAAATCATGGAAGTGTTTGTGATGTGTCCATGGAATTTAGAAAGTCTCAGCACGAAGGACAAATGTAAAAATGTGTGGTAGTGTTTTGCTTTACTCTTCAGCATCCAACTCTGACCCCATGCTTTCCCTTACTTTCACCCTTGTCTTTGCCCCAGGAAATCTGTGCAAGGAGTCATCAGGGAAGGGACTGTTCCATTGGCCATTTAAAGGTGGTGGTAATAATAATACAAAGTGTGAGATGTTAGAAAGCCTGACCTTTAGTGAGTAGGTGCAAAGAGAAGCAGGACTTGCTGGAGCAATCTGGGAGTGATTCAAGGTTCCCTAGAAATTGTGCTGCTTTGCAGTAATAGTTTGTTTCCAATGAAGACATAGACCCAAATAGGAAAAAAAGGACAGAAATTTTAGAGCCTTTTTCTTAGATTCCATGTCTAACCTTGCAGAAGGTAACAGGAGAAACTGCAAGGCACATGGACTCACATAGCTAGGGTACAACAAAGCAAGGAAAAACAAGCACAAGTAGGAAGGAAGTGCCTTGTGGTTCTTTTTGCAAACTGAGTTCCCTCTAATATCCCATCACGCCAAAAGCTCTAAAATTTCAACTTCATACTTTGTGTCTTTTTCCCATTCCTGTCCAGAGCAGTTGAAGTCCCTAAATTTTAATGATAGCTTGAGAGGAAGCATCATCAGAGCTAACCTAACAGGCACTAATTATAACACTACCACGGGAAACACTCTTGGGACATTGTCATTGAAATTGAACACATAGTCAGAAATGTTGCTGGGCCCCATGGCCAGAATTTCTGCCTCAGCAGGTATGAACTGTGACTTGAGAATTTGCATTGTTACCAAATGTTTCCCTGGAGACCAACGTTTTGTTAACCACTAACTGTAGCGATGAAAACTGAAATTAGGTATCAGCAATCTGTTCTTTTTTTTTTTTTTTTGGTACCGGGGATCGAACTCGGGTCCTTGTGCTTACTAGGCAGGAAGCAGAACTACTGAGCTAAATCCCTGGCCCAGCGATCTATTCTTAATAAAATTTATTTAGCCATTGTGATTAGGGATGTAGTTTTGTCATATAAATGACAAAATCAAAGTATTAGTAGATGGCATATTTTTAAAGTAAAATATAATTTATTACATATCATAAATTCTAAGTAGGATTAAATGGGGAGAAGACATAGAAGAAGGCAAAGACCATGAGCCTCAGGAGTGGGACTGGCTATTGGAGATGAATTTATCAGGAAACAACTAGATATTTGGGCCTAAGGGCAAAGTTCAGGCTTTCAATGAGAGAAAGTAAGGTTATGGTGCTTATTCAAATTAAGTACTAGCCTTTTAATAGTATTGCAGTCTGTGAACTAGTAGCCTCATATTTTGATCATGAAAGAGCCTTTGGTAAGATCCAGAAAGGGCGTGGTAGTGTAGGAGTCACTAAAATGCCTTCATGGTTAATTGGCTTCAGCTGGCTGGGACTGACGGAGACAAAGCACAACGTTTAATTTTGCAGTCTCCTAGGCAAGTGCCTCTGCAAGTGAAAAATCTTTTCAGAGAGAAGAAAAGCTAAAGGGGCTAGCCAGACCTAAGTTTCAAAAGAAATGCTGGACAGAGATTGGCAAGGATTGAGCAGGACCCATTGGCCCTGGGGATGTGTGATATAAAAAGTATCAAAAGTGAGATGTAGGGAATCATTGAACAGATTAGAACGACCTTAGTGAAAAGACCATATTAGTTTAGCCAGGCATGGTGGCACACACCTTTAATCCTAGCACTCAGGAGGCTGAGGCAGGAGGATCACTGTGAGTTTGAGACCAGCCTGGGCTACAAAGTGAGTTCCAGGTCAGTCTCAACTACATAATGAAACCTTGAATCAAAAAAAAAAAAAAAGACCATATTAGTTTAAAAGAAGAAGTAAAGATTTATTTCTTCTATACACAATTTAAAAGGTATGACCATAAAATGTCACATATAATCACAAAAAAATGATTGTTATAACCCAAGTAAGTAGTGAGCTTTAGTGTAATTGCTTAAAAACAGTAAATATTTGGAATTTGGACAAAAATACTTTTGAGACACCTGAGAAAATAGAATGTATTTTTTTGTTTCATATGCATGTAGGTGCACACACATGGTACTATTCTGGGAATGTTTCCAACTGTATTCTATGACTGCACAGTTACTGTCTAGCTATATGGGCTCTCCATCCATGTGGATCGAACTATCTGCAGAGTGAAAATACTCAAAAATGTATGGAAACTGGGCATGGTGGCACATGCCTGCAATCCCAGGCCTCAGGAGGCTAGGGCAGGAGGATAACCCTGAGTTGGAGGCCAGCCTGAACTACATAGTGAATTCAAGGCCAGCCTCAATTATGTAACAAGACCTTGTCTGAATAAAACAAAAAACTCTGTATTATGATTTATATCTAGATGTCCCCCCAAAGCCTCATATATTCATAGGTGAACCTTTGGGAGGTGATTGCATCATGGGGATGTGATTCTCATCACTGGATTAGGGCACTGATGAGTTTCTAGCTAGCTGCGAGTTTAGGAGTAGAACCTCGTCCACGTGGAGGCAGGTCACTGGGTGTGTATCTCCCTTCCGCACCTTCCCTTCTCTCGCCCCATCTCCTGTCTGCTGTGCCTTGAGCAGCTCTTGCTCTGCTTGCTCCGCCAATCTTCTCTGCCAGGCCACCCTGCCTCTGAGCCAGCTGATTGTGGATTGAGACCTCCGCAATGAGGAGCTAAAATGAGCTCTTCTTCCCTTCAATTGTGGATCTTGGCATTTTGTTCAGAGATGCGAAAAGGACTAAGAAAGACACAAGTAATCTGTACTAAACATGTATGGACGTTCTTGTCATCAGTATGCCCTAAGCAGTGTAGTTTAACAATTATTTACATAGCATTTACATTGTAGTTGGTATTATAAGTAATCTAGATATGATTTAAATTATACAGTAGGAGGCACATAAATTAAATGAAAATACTATGCCATTTTACATAGAGATTTGGGCATCCTCAGATTTTTGGTCCCTATCAGTGATCCTGGGCCCAGTCCCCCACAGATAACAGAGAGTAACTGTATATATTTTTTCTATATGATTTTGGATGTCCCCACACTTCCCAAAGTGTCTCAAAGAGTCATTGAAGAGATTCAAAGAATCTGATGGGCTCTAAGGAAAATTCTGAGAAAAGTAACTAAGCTATTATTAGAAGCAGTAACAGGAATGCTCTACTTTGGAGAGGCAGCATTTATTTAAATATATACATTCTGGTATATTTGACAAAAGAATCTTTACTAATGTAATTCAGTGTTTATGCATTTAAATCATTATAAGATGTTGATCAGTATTTGGATATGATATTAAACTAGACTGAAAGCATGCATGGGCTTCCACTTTGTCTGCACTGTGTAATCCAGGTCAGTCTAATTTCCACAGGCTGCTCTGCTGGTTTAACCAATACACTGAGCCAATTCACCACAGAGACTCTAAATTAACAGAATTAATTCTAGACCTATTAAACAGCTTAAGACACCAAATCTTTTTGTTTTAATTAAAAAATCGAAGAGGTTTTCTATCTACATGAGGAAAAATGAGACACAAAGTAACCATTTCTTGTTGTAGACACTGTGAAACCAGAACTTCAGGACAGAGTTGGACTGAGCTCGTTCTGCATGCCATGATGCTGCGGGTCATGGCGCGGGGGCTGTCACCGATGCCACTGCAGGCATGAAGGGTCATGCCCACTGAGCTTCGTTGTGTACCCACAGCTGCTCGTAGAAGAAAGGATAGGAGTGGCACGAACCTCAAAGAGTCAGAGAATGGTGCTGCTGGAGGTACAGCCTGGCGTGTCTGAGGAGAAGGGGAGGAACCGAGGTGATTGCCAGGGAGAAATGGAAAAGGAAAATTATCGAACTGTCCTGGTTGACGAGGTCCCGTCCACCCTCATTTGTAACACGAAGTTTCCTAGAAAGTCTAGGTGTGTATCCTTGCATGCATGTATTCTTCTCTTCTACATTCGAGTGGCAAACAATTTCAGGTTTAGTATGCTAAGGATTAAATGATAGAGGCCTATTTTGATTTTCTTCCAGATATATTCACAGTTGTATCAGTATCACGTTACGTTATTCACCATTTTCTCTTGTAGCTGAAATACCTTCAGATCATCTATTACTTCTCATATAGTCTAGATTATCTATTTTGCTCCAGTGGTCTTTTTGTCCAGTCTTACAGAATATAAACTCATTCATTGTTTTCTAAAATGTGGAGGTCATCTTGGTCATGTTTTTAGCTATCTTTTTGGTAATAGTAATTATTTTAATAGAAGCATTAAGATTATCTTCTCCATTAAAAAAACTTGTTGAGTTTCTGCCTGAAATTGTGTTAAATTTATACATTAATTCGGTAGAGTGAAAAACAGTATGAAATTAAGCTTTCTCATCAAAGATTATGTGTTCCTTTCACATTGTTGTTCAGGTTTTTTATTATGTCCATCAACACAATTTTATGATTTTCTTCTTATAGACCAGTGGCTCCTGAGTTCAATTACACACTAGAATTATTTACAAGGTCTAAAAAATGTTGATCCTGAGTTCAAAACCAGTAATTTTGATTTGTTTTGCTTCAAGTGCAGCCTGGGCATAGGGATTTTTAAAGCTCCCCAAGAAATAATTTTAGTGTGCAACCAATGTTGAAAATCATATAGATCCTGTGCCATTCATGTTCCTAATTATTTTATCATTTTCCTGAGTCCCTCGTCAAGAATATATACTAATCACCATTCATATAATTTCTATTGCCTTTGGTCTGTATAAATTTCCCATTTCTAAATTGGTAATGGATACTTTATGAGGAATTTATTCCTTTACTCTAGGTCTTCAAATGTATTACCAGAGAGCTCCGTATTCTCTCACTGTGTGCATGTGCGTGTGTGTGTTAGGGTTGCACTTGGGTATCTTTATGTAGTTATTTTCTGTTTCAGGTTTTCATTTTGTTCAGCAGTTTTATTTCACCGGCTGTGTGCTCTGACTCTCCTGCCTGATCTTCCGCTGCTGCTAGTCCTGTTTTCACTGCTTCACTGAGACTCATTCGCAGTGTCTGGAGCCGTGGAGAACAGTTACAAAACAGATCATCCTTGGGGGTCAGTGCTGTCGGGCCTCTGCCACGAAACCAGGGAGAGCCCTTCGGCTCCTTGGATTCTAGCTATTCTATTTGCTGCAAATATATAAAATCTTCTTCTGACCCATTCACATTTTTCACTTATTTAGGGATTAGAAATCTAGCACTTTGTAGGAGACCCATGCTGCCATTCTCCCAAGGCCCCCTCCGTTTGAAAGCCAATCTCTTGCCTGGAGAGACCATTTTCTTGTATTCATCTCTGGGCTCTGCTGAGGTTTCTGGTCCATTGGTGCCTTGCACACTGACAGCAAAGCAATCACTGCATCTGTGCTCTCTGCTTGAGCCTGGAAAAAAACCTAAGAATCACTTTCTTCCTGTTTCCCCTCAGTTCCAGCAGCCCCTTGTTCAGCTCATCCCAATCGCTGCAAGTTGGGGTGCAGCTGAGCAGCTGTGTTCAGGATACCGTTCCCACCACGGTGGGAGGAGGAGCGTCCCTTAGATCACACTGCAGAGTATTTCACCAAGTGGCACAACTTGCCCTTCTTGGGAGAACATTCAACCCTGGTCTTGTCCAAGCTTATATCACAATGGCATTCTGTCCAACTTTATAGGTATGAAGATGGTTTCGCACACTATTTTGGTCCTCAACTGAGTCAGTGGGCTATTATTATATAAGCAAAGGAAGAAAAAAAACTTGCAGGTGTGCCAAAGTACATATTATGAAAAATTGTGCTTAACAGGCATGAAATTAGTATTTTCTCAGATATTAACTCTACCTACCTGTGTAAAACTTGATACTCTATTGATACTTTCAAACTTCCTTTCAGTGTTGATGATGAATCAGTGTGTCATGTCAGGG